TTTCATTTATAGCAACTCAGACATTTGTGATTTCTTTAATCATTTGTTAATAGAATAGAAAATATCACACTTTTCACCTGAAAATCTTCTTTTTGGATGAAAGTTTGACGCCAGAAAAGGACATATGACATCATACCATGCATACTGGTATGTGCAAAAGACTAGATCAATGATTTGCAGAATTTTTTATTTAGACATTGAGAGTGTTGACCATGAGAGAATAGGTTAAATAACTCGTGAAAATTGGATATTGCATGATATCAACTCTCGTTATTTAATTTAAAAAGTAATACATGTATTAATAAACTTGACACAGGCTTGTTATAATTAAATTGAAATTAAATAACTCAAGTTGATATCAAGGGATATCCAATTCTCACTCATTATGGAACCTATAATTCTTGACATAGTGATCCCTATACTGGTGAAAGTACTTTTATTCGTGGGGAACCAATTTTCGCGGTTTACCTGGGTGACTTTATCCACGAATTTAAGTGTCCAACGAAATATAACAACTGTAATGTCAAAATCAAGACATGGAAAGATCCCCATGTAGGTTTGACTAACGATATGATCTAGAGAATATATTGAATATCGGCTAATCTGAGACTACTTTACTAGTAATCACAGGGCAAACGGACTATCAACTACAACTGCAGGAAGGATTATACCCATTTAATCTTTAAAAACTTAAACTTTACAACTTTTGATCTTTTCATTCTAAAATAAAATAAATTTTATGATAAAAATTTCATGCTGGGCTTGCTTTTGAATAGTACATATTTAAAATTTCAAGGTACATTTATATCATTTGTTTATATAACCGTTTTCTTTAGGTGACATGTTTATTGTCTAATCGACACCTTTGATGTTCTTTAATCTGTTGATCGCTCTATCTCGGGTTAATTAGTGTCATCACTACAATTTATCCAGGTTCAACAATTCAAATCTTTACTTTGCAATTTCCTTCAATCAAGACAATTTGTAACCTTTGTTTCTAAATATAATGGCTTCAATTCTTCAATTCCTTTTTTTTAGAAAACTAAAATCCACGAATTTTAAAACCCACGAACATGTAAATTTTGCTCAAACCATGAAAATTGACACCCACAAATTTAAGTACTTTCACAGTATATAACACAAGTGTGAAACCAGATTTTTTTTAATATATTTATATTTTCTTAAACACTAACAAGGTCTCCAACTTGCTTCTTCAGACAAAATTACCGATGATAGTTCCTAGTAAAAACTTGAACAGTTGGTTGAACCCTCTAGTACTTGAGACTGTACATGTTTCAACATGTTGAAAGATCTATATGCATGATATGTTTTCTTTAGAATGAATCATAAATGATTGATTGATTGGTGTTTAATGCCACTTCAACACTATTGTGCTATTTCATGGTGATCAGTTTTTGGAAAGATTGGAACTTGTTCTAAATCTTTCCTAAGGCACTGGCCTCCCGAACAACAAGTAACTAAGCACAGGTAAGCTACTAAATCTACAAAATGTATACACACTGAAATATAGTTCCTTATGATTCTCATGTCTGTGCACATATGCACATATAAACTGTGAAAAATTTGAGTATATTTTTGGTGCAGTTCATTCAAGTATGTATGTCTTTAAAGTGTGTTGATATGCAGGCTTTTTTATCATTTTGATTAGGTAATTGAGTAATGATCCATTACTACTATGATTGACAACTGTCATGATCACTAAACAATATCAGACAAGGTGGGGCCTTATTTACAATGCCCCACCTCCTTAAATGCCAATCATATTGACATTACTAATCAACCTCAGTCTTACATAATTATACAGACCCTTCAATATACATCTCAATGCATAAATATTTGACCTCATAATTGAATACACAAATGTATATATTAGATGTTTGATGTTTGATATATATAGATGATAGATTTATTCATTGCCTATTACTTTTGATCTACACTACATAAAGTGATTCTGTAAACTATGTCTTAAAGATAAATGAATAATTAAGGATTAACAGATCTTTAAAAAAATGAAATCTAGATAAATATATAAAAGGTATTCAAGTAAGGCCTATGATTTATTTGATAAATCTGAAATAATCATCTGTAATTAATCAACAATTTAGGTTAGTTCACTTTTTTTATCAGTGATTGGCTTGACACATTGAGTTAATTTTTTAAACTCTTAATCAGAACAAACCAATTTTTTTGTTAGTTTATTCCCCATCAAATGTCTTAACAATTTTAGTCATTCGAATATAAGAAGTGTATATATATATTTGCAATCAAGAAAGAATTCTCATTTCAATAAAATAAGTAACTCTATAACTTTTAATCTTCAATGTCATATAATAATGATATTTGTTTTCAAAATCAATAAGCAATTCTCAGAGGAGAAAAATAGTATACCTATGTTTCAACTTACAAAACGCCCCAAAACAACCTTTTTAGATAATTTTTTGACCCATAAAGTTCCTAGCTTCAAGTCTATCTGTTGGACTATGCATTTTTGTTTTGTTTCAGAAGATAAAATGTAAAAGGTGAAATGTGTAAAGGGGAACATCATTTGGTAAAGATATAACTGCAATTTAATGAAATTGTTGTGCAAATTAAGGGACCCCCTATCATTCAATTTGAATCACATTTAGCTCATTTTATCTACTGGAAAAGTGCTTTTCCTTCTAAAGACCAGCAGTTAATGCAATTTTCAGCAATAGTGCTTTATTAATGTTCTTTTTTGTCCACACCATACCTAAATATGATTTGAAATTATTCAAACTACTCTTCCAATCTTTCCATGAGTGATTTCCATCACTTTGATTATATAATAGGTGGAGGAAATCGGAATGCCCAGAGAGAACCACTGACCTTCGGTAGGAAAACTGACAATCCTAGTCAATTAAGATTGGAGTCGAGAGCACCTGCACGAGCGGGGTTCGAATTCACAACCTCAGTGTTGACTGGCTAGTGATACAGCAGTTAGACTACCTAGACCACTCGGCCACCGAGGCCCCCAAATCATAAATGAAGATTTTAGGTCAAGAAATGAAATAGCTCTGGCTAACAAGTTTTGAAAATTATAACTCCATAAAGGTGAACCAATGCCATAGTGCCGACTTTTGTTAGAGACCCCTGGATTGGATACCTTGGTATGCAGGGTTATCAAATAATGCACATGTCAACCAGCTTAATAAAAACTCTTTGAAGTGTTGTTATCAATTTTTGAATAAATATCTTAAATAGTCAAAAGTTGGATACTTATCTAACTGGAAACTGTTCTGGGATTCATATACTGAATTCTACCTCACCACCTGCATTTATGATGTAATTTACATAATATTAGCCTTCACAGGGATTATACTTTCTAATCCTCCCTTTTTCGCTCTTTTTCCATTACATTCATTGACATTCACATTTCCCCATCTGCTGGTCAGTATTTGCTGCCTCTTGAATTAAATGAAAGAAGAGATCTGGCATGGTTGATCCTATTTTTCAACAACCTTCACATTGATAAGATTTCTTGTAGTTAATGCAACAAAACCTTTATCACCGTTGCCATGGCTTCAGGTATGAACATGATGAATATAAATTTTTGTATAACATGACCATGATGACCCTGATTTATTAATTCCTCAGAAATGACTTAAATTATGTAAAAAATTTAAGACCCATGGGTCATAACATACTAAAATTTAAAAAAAGACCCAGTGTAATCCAGAGAATAAAAAAAAAGCTGCATAGCAATATAATATTTTCCACAGAAAGTAACCAAAAGTTAGCGTGCAATAAATTCTAATATTGCACTAGTGCAATAAATCTTCAAAATTTATGACGTCATCAACGACAAAATCTTAGTTTAAACCAATTTTTACTTTCAGATATTATATTGCTATACACAGATACAATAAAAGGGTTATTGCATGAATATTGGGGAATATTGTCCCTCGTAGAACATATATTGCACTCGCAAGCTCGTGCAATATAAAATTCTACTTGGGACAATATTCCCCAATATTCATGCAATAACCCTATAATATTGATAATTCTATAATAAATCAGTTTACCTATTCATCACTTTTCATTACAATAAAGTTGATGACTGAAATAAATAAGATCCTGTAACATGTCTTTTTTTGTTCTTGATAAACATCCCTGTTTATCTATGTGAACAAACCCAGCCACATTTTTGCACCTGTTCCAAGTCCGGAATCTCTTAGCCTTTGTAAGTTATGTGTTGTTCTTAATTTTGGTTCATTTGTATGTTCATAATGTTTCAGGGTTTAGTGTGGTGTCCATTTCACTGAACTAGTACACATTATTGTTTAGCGGCCAGCTGAAGCCTGCCTTGGGGTACAGGATTTTCTTGCTGCATTGAAGACCCATTTAATAGTGGCCTTAGGCTGTTTCCTGCTCCTTGGCCGGGTTGTTATCTCTTTGACACATTCCACGTTCAATGCCATTCTCTATTCTATAAGAAATTTAAAATGTTTAAATAAACTGTGAATTAAAACTATGAACAGATTTCATGGATTTATTGACCATGTAATGGTACTGACAGAAAAGGAAAACATGAGATTTGGTCAAGAACTTTTTATTGGTACAGATAAGTTTGTTTACAAGTTAATTTAATTGGCATGAGTTCGTCAAAATGAACAAAATGGTTCTAAATTTTGAAAATCAGACAACATGGTCTGATCAAATTGTTATATGTTGAAGGTTACCACTTTACTACATATTGTTTAACCCAAATTATTAGCAAGACCCAAAGGAAATATATGGTTAAAGCCTATATAGTGTCCTTAATTTTTTTTCAAATTAAAAAAATGGTAGAAACTGAATATGACATGTATGTGTGTTGTTCTTCACTTATATCTTGTTTGATATCAGCTTAATTTGTGGTTTGGCTTTCTGTAATACACAGTTTGATCATACTTAAGATATTTCAATGAAATAACATGAATGCTACATGTAGTAGACTTACATGAATTGTTGTTTTTCAGAGGTTTATTTCCACTGAGAGATGAATTCATGAGGAATCAGAATAATTTATATAAAACACAGACATACCATGAGCAGTGACAATATGGTACTGAGTGCAGCAGGTCTCCTTGGAGGCATACAGCTCCCAGAATTCACCATTCTCAACATTATCAGCTGGGGATGTTCGGCAGCAATGATTTTTGGTGGAGTCGTTCCATTTATTCCACAATACAGAGACATTCAAAGATCAGGGAATGCAGATGGATTCTCTCCCTTTGTCTGTTTGACACTTTTAATAGCAAACATACTGAGGATAATGTTTTGGTTTGTATAGGATTAAGAGTCCTCCTAAGTAGAAACATAATTTATATACTAAACTATATCATCAAACTTATCAGACATATATATGTATAATGCAGTTGTAATGGCAATGGAAAATGTTTCATATTTTAGTTTTCTTCCATTAACAAAACAAATTATAGCAGAAACATACAAGTGTGGCTTTTTCCGGTATTCATCGGTTTCATTATTATACAGTACATAGTCTGAAAAGTTCATTACTTAACATGCTTATTTAAGTTAAGTACAATATATTTCATTTTTTAAGACCCCTATAATCATGATAATAAGCTAGCATTAAAATACAATCACATTAGAATTTAGTTCTATTTTTATGCCCCACCTAGGGGCATTATGTTTTTCGGTCTGTGTGTCTGTTTGTTCATCCGTCGGCGTCCGTTCATCCGTCTGTCCAGCTTCAGGTTAAAGTTTTTTGTCAAGATAGTTTTTGATGAAGTTGAAGTCTAATCAACTTGAAACTTAGTACACATGTTCCCTATGATATGATCTTTCTAATTTTAATGTCAAATTAGAGTTTCGACCCAAATTTCACAGTCCACTGAACATAGAAAATGATGGTGTGAGTGGGGGATCCGTGTACTATGGACACATTCTTGTTTCTTTTCACATTCTCGTAAGATTTAATGTTATAAAAAGTTTGCTGTTTTTCAGAACAGACATTCTTAAGCTTATCTTCTTATACAGTGTAGTTAAATGCATTTGTAAAAAATCATTCAAAAGTTAAATATCAGTTTAAATTGTTCATCCCAACTGACTATTATACATGTATTGTCATATTCATTATGGTGTCAGAATTAAAGTTTGCAAGTATTATTCCAGAGCCCCCCCCTTTTGTGGGAAAAATTTGGTTGATTATATAGGGAATCAATGAAGCATGACTGGAGCGGGCCCCCCCTTAGGTCAGTCAGCGGGCCCCCCTTATGAAAAGTTCTTGATCCACCACTGCCATGTAATATCATTTGATATCATATTGAATTGAACCCATCCCCATTCATACTCAAATTGATATTCTTGAATATATATGTTAAAATAGTTTATAGACAATGTGCGTTTGTGTCACTGAGACAGAAACCAAACAATAAAAAGGGGTGTATGTTATTTTGACTTACAATGTCACAAGTTACATGTGTATTTATGATGTCAGTTATTGTATATATCCAGACATGTAAAATTGATTTGTGCAGAATTAAACTTTAAATTACTGAAAAACTTTCCAATTCAAATTTTGTTACTACATGTATTTACAGGTTTGGCAAACATTATGAATTACCACTTTTAGCACAGAGTATAATTATGTTATTTGCAATGATGGCTTTAGTTCATCTTTGTGTTCACGTTCGGAGAAAAACAGAGATTATAGCTGCTAAGCAACATAAATTTACAGGTAAGGTATCCATCAGACTATATTTATTGTGTTATTTAATTGTTTAACAGCCATTCAACACATGTTATTCCTTCAGTGTAAGCATGTAGTAAAATGTCATTTAAGACCAAGTAAACTGAATGTATGAGTTGTTGTAAAGCCCTTCCTAAGATAGAAGGGGCATTCGGTTTTCCTGTTTATTTGTTCCTCTGTTCATCTGTCTATCCCATATCAGGTCAAACTCTGGTACACTTTTCATTTTGGTTGATTAGGTAAAAATTGCTTTTTAAATTTCTCATAACAATATAGTGCATTTACTGTACATGTCCCCAAATGATAAATCTTACTTTTACTAGACAGAAAAAAAGTCATAAGTCACATGTTTCTGGTTAGGCCACACCTAAAAATATTTTGGTTTGCCCAAACCCTACCCAAAGGTAGAGACAGTGGGTACCGGTAGGTAGGTAGGCATTTTCTTCTTCTTTTTTTTTCGGCAAAGAGAAATTGAAGTGTCAGATTTTGTTTAGTCTTCATGCCTATCTGATTAAAAAAAAACTTTTTCACATCAAGACAATAAAAGATTTTGAGTAGGCACATATTTTCTGGGTAGGTAGGGTAGGGCAAACAATATTCTTTTTTATGGCCTTAATGACATAAAAATAGATATTTGACTATTGTACAGTTATTGTATACCTGTTTTCTTCCCTTGTTTTTAGTCTTTGCATGATGATGAACCGAAATTACAAAAAATACATAAATTGAAAAAACATTGATAATGAATATATGTGTATTGTTTATAAATATTATTTTGTTCAATTATGTGTGTCTTCATGTCTTCAAATTCAACAACATTATACATTTGTACTACCGGTACATGTAACAACAAAAAAGGATAATTTCTTAATATGTAATCTAATTCCATCAAGTATTAAAAGTTATAACTCACACTTTAATGATAAAAATCATTACCACAGATTTTACACACAATGGAGACATTCCACATCATGGAGTTGCTCCCCCTGAACACACATTTTTTGGTACGTAATTTATGTTTGCATGGCTTTCAGTGTTGTACCTCCTGCTCACTTGCATGCTACTTTTAACTGAAAAAAATAGCATTTTGTGCTTTGGCAATTATGATTCATTCTGGCAATGTAAAAATTATCCTTTATAACAGTTTTCAGACCTGAAATTGACAAGTAAAACATACATAATAACAGATACACCAACAGTAACTGATGCATATAAAACTATATTTCAATGCATGCCTACCCAAACCTTAATTCAGCATCATAATAAAACCACATATAAATAGACCAGAGATGGATCCCATAACCTCCCTCACTCTTAGTGAGCACACTGCTATGAGACATGATCCCAGGCCTTTCAACCTTTTGAATGACCATTGACTAAGAAAATTAATAAGGACATCCTCTGGTCATGGTTTAACTTATACAAGGTTTTATAAAAATCAAATTAGCCTGTACATTGTCTACATGTTGTTACCTTCAATAATTACACTGTAGCATTCCTATACATGTACCTCCTTAACCTTTGTTTCTAGGGTAAAGATGGGGTGCACCTGTCGCAACCCCTTAAAAAAGGAGACAAAAAAATGTAATAAAGATGAATTACAAACAATTTTTTGTCCTTTAATTCCTAATTCTCAGAAGCAGCACAGACTTTGTACCTATCACAACAGGTTATTTTCTGTGCATTTATGTACATGATTTAGTCATGGTGAGTGTCTCTGGACTATATGTGTTGGTATTTTTTTGTCATGTTAAATAAATAATTTGATAACCTGTTCGTAATGAAGGTAAATCCTGAAATATGTTCTGTGTGCTTCAAATTTATATTGGTATACAATATAATTTTTACTGTTTACTCAGCTCCTGGTGATTTTTTTAAGACTGATTGTATATGCACATACTGTTTACAATTTTAGTGATTTCTTTACAAAGTTATGGTTAGTTTAACTATTATAAAAATAAGGAGATGTGGTTTAATTCCAATGAGACAACTATTCACCAGATACCAAATGACGTGAATGTCAGCAACTACAGGTCACGGTACGGCCTTCAACAATGAGAAAAACCCATACCATGTAGTCAGCTATGAAAGGCCCTTTAATACATGACATGATTTGAAGTCAAAATGAGGCACAGAACAATTTTTCCTGATGTCATTTGGTCTTAATCTATTAAATGTCTTCGCTACATTTATCCACTTGAAAAAAAAAGTTCCTTTATCACAATTTTGTTTGTCAGTTCATTTCATAAACTGATTGCAGTACATGCATTTTATACACATAGTCACACTTTATATGAATACTTGAACAAGGTAGGGCAGGATTTTGAACAAAGCAGATTGTTATGAAAATAATAAATAACAGATTATTCTACACATGGCAATGGTACAATCTTTGTAGTCCATTTTTGATGAAGTTTGTTTATTTACAAATTTCAGATATCACTTCCCTTCCTCTAGCTTTTTAAAAATAATACAATCTAATGTAAAATTTGTTGTGCATAGAATCTGAATGAATGTATAGATTTATCAACAATTTTGTGATGTGATTATGTAGCTCCATCCATGATGTGAAAAATCTGTTGTTTTGATGAGCAATTTAAATATTGCTATCACTTTTAGTGTGAAAAAGGGATGAAAGTTCGTTTCTTAGAAATCTGAGAATTAGAAGACATGTTTTAGTGTCAAACATTTATTTTAATCCTCAAGGAAATGGCACAAAAACCTCTGTCTGCAGTCAAGTGTTTAATACAAATGTTTTGTCTGGTATTTAGGGTGTCAAAAAGTAGAATATTGATTTTTTCACTTTATCAAAATGTATTAATATCACCTAATGCACATCAGTAAGATAGGTTTATTTATTTATTTTTTATTTGAACAACTTATTGGTATTCCCATAGCAAAGCATGGACTTTTCAGTTTAATTAAGTATTGAAACAAACATTTTGTCACATAATCTATAGATATTGCATCACTGGCATGGGGACTACATTGATTCTTTCACTAAACATTTATTTCCTGATTCTATTGCTAATAATATGAATTTTTTGTCCATAATTGATTTTAACCTTTTTGTTCATGTCAGTTTTAGGTCTCTGACTCTGTTGCTGTGTTTGCTGAATTAAAGAGTTCTATTGTATTATTTTGTAATGCTGTCTCCTTGACATATTCCATGAATCTTATGTTGTCTATCATTATGAGGTCTAAATGTCACTTTCTCCACTCAAATTCTTACATATATCTCTGTGAACTGTGGAAGTTCTTGCTGAATGTCAATATGGATTTGGTTTCTGTCTTATAGACCACTGTAAATTCAGAAGTTATTGTGAGGTTTTTATAAATGCAAATAATACGACTCCATGGGTATTGCAATAATAAGAGCTCGCACTCTGATATCTGTGTGTAGCTTTCTCGCATGTGTGTTCATTCTTCAAAAATTGCAATAAAAAATGCTAGCAATAATTTCTGAATATACAGTAACTTTGAGTTTTTTTTTATGAATGAGTTTTGTCAGTTGACCCAAGTCTAATCTGTGTAAATGATGTCATTGAATCAACAGTGACTTAACAACATAAGCATTGGGACATTGTAAATGATGTCATTGAACAAACAGTGACTTAACAACATAAGCATTGTGACATTGTAAATGATGTCATTGAACAAACAGTAACTTAACAACATAAGCATTGTGACATTGTAAATGCACAAGTTTGAAAGTTGTCTTTTGGCTGTTATCTTTGAGCTCTCAAATGTTTAAATGTTGTCCTTCCCAACTTTTGGTCATGCTAGTACCTGATGCAGGTTACTAAAAAATGGACCAAAAACATTAATGGCCAGATTGTACATAATGTTCTTAAACAATGGAGAATGGTCTATGATGAACATTTAAATATATGAAGATGTAAAATTGGAAAAACTTTCCTCAATTAATTCATAATTTCAGGTGCACAATGTCAATTTGTGTGTAACCTTTCTGTGAAGTTTAAGGGATCTGGGTTGAAAAATGTAGGAGTTGATCGCAAAAAGTTACTGTCTTTCAAAATTAGAAGAAGAAAAACCTCAAACAATTCCATAATAGCAGGTGCACAACTTCCACATGTATGTAATTTTTTTGTGAAGTTTCAAGATGCTGTTAGAGATCTGTAGGAGAAGTTATTTACACAAAATCGGTACCCGTTTTACCCACCCATTCTACACCACCATAAGCTTGTTTTGCAATTTGTGTAACTGGTGGTTAGAAATGTGTCGTGCACACAGACATCATAACAATGCTTTTTTTCCTTAATCAAAAGAATTAATTGCTTGTATGTGGTGCATTATATTGTAATATAGTCTATATTTTTATGGTAATTCATAGACTACAACTATATCACATTATTCACTCAGCCCAAGCTTCTTTTTGTATATCATTGATATTAGCAATACTCAGCTTATAATTTTGAGTTAAAAATAAATGTCAAATCAGAATAGAAATTTTGTTCATAATTTTCATTTGTTCATTTATTGAATTGTTAGAAATACTGAACTGTGACTAACATTAACTGTCTTATCAACTTAGATCTCCATTAAATGTTTTGCAGAAATGCTCAAGAATAGTTACTATAAAAATAAGAAGATATGGTTTGATCGCCAATGAGACAACTTTCCTCCAGAGACTAAATGACAAAGATGTAAACTACTATAGGTCACTTTACAACCTTCAACAGTGAGCAAAACACATGCCATATAGTAATCTATAAAAGGCCTGGACATGACAAAATGTAAAACAATTCAAAAGAGAAAAGTCCAGTAATCTTGTTACAGAACAAACTGATTGGACGTACAAAATTACTATTCACCTTAACTGGGTTGTCACACAGATCTTCATAGATGGACAGTAAGTTTAATAAGTTTATGATATTCATGTTTTCACTGAATATTCCATTTTTTCTCTCCATATCAATGATTTCTTGTTAATATTATTATATGTATATATATATATATATATATAGAAGTCTATAAAAAGGACCAACCAGCAAATTTACTATGTACCGGATCGTCTAGAATAGACGATACTGTGCAGATAAGGAAAAAAATTATATAAGTCTAGAGATTTGCACAACGATACTAATATAAGATGGTATTATACGAAGATGTTATTAATAAATCGTGTTGACAAATATTTCGGCTTAACAAATAGCCTTCTTCGGTGTCAGTTATTTTAACAATACTGTTAAAATAACTGACACCGAAGAAGGCTATTTGTTACTGTTAAAATAACTGACACCGAAGAAGGCTATTTGTTAAGCCGAAATATTTGTCAACACGATTTATTAACAACATCTTCGTATAATACCATCTTATATTAGTATCGTTGTGCAAATCTCTAGACTTATATATATATATATATATATATAGGTTTGTTTTAGATATTATTTCATTTATTTTGAAGTTTCCCCCTTCTTTTTTATTTTGCTTTCTATTGTGATTTCATTTCGCACGAGATATTGATTTTAATTTCTTTTCTTTCAGATTTTGATTGGGATTACTTTTGGATGTGGACAGACTTTAGTAGTTATGTAGAGTTTATCTTTGCATTTATTGGTTTGTTTGGACTAATAACATACCTATTGTTATACAATATGTATGTTGTTGAGACAATAGGATTTTTAGCAGTATTTGCAGAGGCAATGTTAGGAGCACCACAGTTTTATAGAAATTTTACAAATAAATCCACTCAGGGAATGAGGTAAGGCCAGAAGTGATTTATTATAAGTGTGGTGTTATATATCAGTTCTGAGTTCCAGTACTTTAATGAGACTGGCCTCAAGTTTGCAGTAGTTATGATATAGATATAGGAAGATGTGGTATGAGTGCCAATGAGACAACTCTCCATCCAAGTTACAATTTATAAAAGTAAACCATTATAGGTCAAGGTACGGCCTTCAACACGGAGCATTGGCTCACACCGAACAGCAAGCTATAAAGGGCCCCAGAAAATTACTAGTGTAAAACCAATCAAACGGAAAAACCAACGGTCTAATCTATATAAAAACGAGAAACGAGAAACACGTATGTTTGGTAATTAGCGTTATACATTTTCTGTTGAAATCGTTGAAATTTCTTGTATAAAAAATAATTTGAACCATTCTTAATCTGCCAGTACTGAATGATACCATTTTGTTTGCTGAAGGGAAAATAATTACTTTATATTTCTGATTGATGAGTTGAGACAAGTGGAAAATATAGTTGTAATACTTAAAGTGGTAAAAACAATACAAAAAAATCTCTATAAAAAGGTAGATCTGTGTGATATCCAAAAAGATAACTCCCCATCAAAGACCAATAGAATGGATATGATGGTCAAGTATTTAAAGATTATAGGTCACAACAAGGCCTTCTGTACAATTTTGGGGGTAAAGATTGCATTCATTTTGCAATGCTTACAAGCACTCTGATTAAAAATATTCATTTAAAGATAAAACTACTAAAATAGTAAATATGAAAGTAAAGTGTCAAACCATTCATTTGAGTAAATTTAAATGTGATTGGTATTCTGTGTATACATTGGCATAGTCCTTAATTTTATATTATAAAAATAAATAAATGACAGCATTAAACCCATAATTCATTACTGCTGATCTCTCTCCTCGGGCCTAAAACTGATGGTTAATTGCAATTGACTTTCAATATTAGATAGAGTAGATTAGGTGTGAGCCAAGGCTCCGTGTTGAAGACCGTACTGTGACCTATAATGGTTTACTTTTATAAATTTTGACTTGGATGGAGAGTTGTCTCATTGGCACTCATACCACATCTTCTTATATCTATAGAAGTATAATTCAATGTGGGCAACACACAGTCCTCAACTGCAGACAGTTGTCTATCCAAACTATATCCAGAATAGTTGGGTAGAGAACCTGATAAATGCCTTCCAACACAACTTTGTAGCAACAATTTTTATGCCCCTGCCATAGCGGTGGGGGCATTAAGTTTTACCCTTGTCCGTCTGTACGTATGTACGTACGTCCGTCCGTACGTCCCAAAATTGGTTTCCGTTGTCTAACTTGAGTTTGCCTCAACTAAATGTTATAAACTTATACACAATGCTTATTACCACAAAACACAGATCAAGTTTGAATTTCGGTGGCGTCACTTTAACCATTCTAGAGTTATGCCCCCTTATAAATGGAAAAATTGCAAAATTTTTAGTTTCTGTTCTCTAACTTAAGTTTGCCTCAACCAAATGTTATGAAACTTATACACAATGCTTATTACCGCAAAACACAGATCAAGTTTGAATTATTTTGATGGCGTCACTTCAACGGTTCTAGAGTTATGCCCCTTTATAAATGGAAAAATTGCAAAATTTTTAGTTTCTGTTCTTTAACTTAAGTTTGCCTCAACCAAATGTTATGAAACTTATACACAATGCTTATTACCACAAAACATAGATCAAGTTTGAATTTTGGTGGCGTCATTTTAACTGTTTTAGAGTTATGCCCCTTTATAAATGGAAAAATTACAAAATTTTTATTTTCTTCTAAATATCTAGTAATTTTTAGAATCGGAGTTATCTTCCTTTGTCCATGATTATAGTTGAATCAACTACAATCAATGCTTTATACAATGCAATGTTTAATTTTGACTTCCACTGATAAAACACAGATCAAGTTGAATTTGGGTAGTGTCACTTTAACCATTATTGAGTTATGCCCCTGTATAAATCGAAAGATTGCAAAATTTTTAGTTTCCATTCTGTAACTTAAGTTTGCCCCAACCAAACATTATGAAACCTATACACAATATTCATTACCACAAAACTAAGATCAAGTACAAATTTTTTGTTTCCGTTTTCTAACTTTAGTTTGCCTCAACCAAATGTTATGAAACTTATACACAATGCCTATTACTACATAATACAGATTAAGTACGAAATTTGGTGGCGACACTTTTACCATTCTTGAGTTATGTCCCTTTATAAACATAAAAATTGCTGAATTTTTTAGTTTGTCTCAACCAAATGTTATAAAACTTATACACAACCGTTCTAGAGATATGCGTGTTTACAAATAGAAAAATTGCTGAATATTTAGTTTCTGTTCTCTACTTAAGTTAGCCTCAACCAAATGTTATGAGACTTACACACAATGCTTATTACCATAAAACTCAGATCAAGTTCAAATTTGGGTAGCGTCACTTTTACTGTTCTTCAGTTATTTTTATTCCATTACAAAGTTTCTGGAAATGATGGATATATTGAGATTTTCATAGATTACAATAAGCATCATGAATTCCTATTAACTACCTACATGACTCATTATTGAAGTGTGGGAAGTTATATATATTTTACTATTATAGTTTGCAATTATTCAGTTATATGATTTTACTTATTTTTCAGTAAGAAGATGGTAGGATTTTGGACATGTGGAGATGTTTTTAAGACTGGTTATTTTATAGTACGAGAAGCTCCACCACAGTTCTGGATTTGTGGAATGTTACAAGTGTCAATAGATATATCTATATTTATACAAGTTTATATATATCGTAATTTATCTTCCAAATCCAAGCTTTGAATCATAATCTAGTCAATTATTTATGTCAAATCTATGGGTGTCACATTGCTAAAAAAATGTGTTTTTATATTTTTGAAAAATGTCATGTAGATCTTTGATAGACTGTATGTTGACCTTTAGATGTCTTTTGGTTAGATGTGTTTCTGGGTTGCTGTCTCATTGATGTATACCTTTCTTCTTCTTTTCTTTTTATCATGTTTATTGTTCAGAACAAAATGGAATAGATATGTAAAGGGAAGATATTGACAATTTTTGTAAATAAAGGGTGAGATAAGCATTAAAAATTGGAAATGAAGGGGAGATAACAAAAATAATGGAAATAAAAGGGAGTTAATGAATAAAAATTAGGAATGAAAAGGGAGGTAACAAAAACAGCAACATTATTTTACCATTCAATTCTATCAAAATAAGATATGTTGTTCTTAATATTGAATCATTTATTGAATATCACATATATATATTTGAATCAAGAACACAAATACCTGTTGGATTTTTGAAGTTTCATCAATGTAATGTACAGGTGTAGATCAATGTTTTTATTATTGGAAATGCAAACTAGCTTTTTCTTAAGATCTAAATGGTCTTTATATAAGAAATGAATATACTTGTAATACATGTAATACAGCGACACATACTAAATTTGTAAATTCAATAGGGTTATTGTAGTAATTATGAATTACTAGTCGAAATTGGTGTGCCATAATAGAATATTGAATTTATTATAATCTTTACAAAGGGAAAACTTCAATTTATTTTCATTGCTATTTTAAAGAAGATTAATTAGTGTTATTCGTTTACAACATTTGAAGTCTTTGTCTCATACAATAGCATTTACTTGAAGTTGTTATGTTTTTGTTTTTATGTTAAATTTTATGTATATCATGTAGATGTATTTTTATATCAAATAGGTGTAAATTACATCTTCTGTCTTCATCCATGAAAGATTTTGAATGACGGCAAATTTTAATTATTGTATATCCTTTGATTTGCTTTTAAACCTATGACTGTCAGAAAATACTTTGGATTCCTTATTATTTGTGATTATAGATGTTCCATATCTGTTATGGCTAATGCAAAATAATAGCTTTCAATAATTTAGGAGAGTGGTCTTTCCCCATTTGGCCTCTGTTTACAGTGGTGGATCCAGAATTTTTCAGAAGGAGGGCCCACTGACTGCCTAAGAGGGGGTCCACTCTAGTCATGCTTCAGTGATTCCCTAATTAATCAACCAAATTTTTCCCACAAAAGCTGTATGCAGGATATGTAATTATGTTTAATGACATCATGGTGTAAATATTCAAAATTATCTCTATTAAAATGAAATATAGAATAAAGAAACTATCAGTAATTAGGGGAATGAGATAAAGGTTCATTTAGCTTTCATTTCATTCAATTAAAACATTGATATATGAATTGTTTGTAGGTTAGTTGACGGGTAAATACTATATTTTTATACGACTGCAAACAAATTTTTCGTTCGTATATTGGTATGACGTTGGCGTCGTCGTCGTCATCGTTGTCCAAAGACGCATTGGTTTTCGCACTCTAACTTTAGTTTAAGTGAATGGATCTCTATGAAATTTTACCATAAGGTTCAATACCACAAAAGGAAGGTTGGGATTGATTTTTGGGGGTTATGGTACCAACAGTTAAGGAATTAGAGGCCAAAAAGGGGCCAAAAATAATCATTTTTGTAACTTCCAGACATAACTTGTGTGTTAGTGTATGGATCTCTCTGACATTGTACCACAAGGTTCCATATCACAAAGGGAATGCTGGGATTGATTTTGGGGGTAATTGCCTCCAAATTTTAGGAATTGAGGGCAAAAAAAGGGGCAGAAAACAAGCATTTTTCTAGTTTCATGACAATAACTTGTGTGTAAGTGTATGGATCTTTCTGAAATTGTACTTCAAGGTTCAATATCACAAAGGGAAAGCTTGAAGTGAGTTTGGGGGTAATTGCCCAAAATGTTTAGGAATAAAGGGCCAAAAAGGGGCAAAAAATAAGCATTTTTCTAGTTTCCAGACAATAACTTGTGTTCAAGTGTATGGATCTTTATGAAATTGTACTACAAGGTTCCATATCACAAAGGGAAAACTGGGTTTGAGTTTGGGGGTAAATGCCCTAAACGTTTTGGAATTTGGGGCCAAAAAGGGGCCAAAAAACAAGCATTTTTCTAATTTCCAGACAATAACTTGTGTTCAAGTGTATGGATCTCTCTGAAATTGTACTGCAAGGTACCATACCACAAAGGGAAGGCTGGGATTGAGTTTGGGGGTGATGAATCATAAGGGGGTTCAAAAAATTTTGGGTTTTTTTTTTTTCCTTATTTTTCTTTTAAATTTTCCATTTTAAATTGGTTATTTCTGATTTATATATAAAAGCAAATAATAATGATATGTTTTGAATAGGTCAATTAAAAAATTTTAAGTTCTTAGACCACATTCATTCTGTGTCAGAAACCTATGCTGTGTCAAATATTTAATCACAATCCAAATTCAGTGCTGTATCAAGCTTGAATGTTGTGTCCAAACTTGCCCCAACTGTTCAGGGTTCGACCTCTGCAGTTGTATCAAGCTGCACCCAGTGGAGCATTTTATTTTTGTTCAATAGAGTTAAACCTCATTAATTTTTTTATTGTCAGATTGCTTTCTAATTCATGTTTATGCATTGTATACAAACATTCATTGTTTGTTTGCTTTCTCCTTCATATACATTTTGTTTGTATTTGGCACAAAAGTGTTGTTTTATGTTTGATGGTGTTTCAAAAGATTTAAAAAGATTTAGTGATTTGTACTGTCTTGTGTGTGTTATTTAATGCTGCACAAATATAGGGTAGTTGATGTGTGTTGTGTTAACTTGGGTCTTGAGAACATCCCCAATACTTTAAAAAGATAAATGTAACATTTATTTTTAAAAAAACATAAATATCCCGAAATGTTGAAATATGTAACATTTCCTTGCAAATTCTTGGGAATGCTTTGAATTTGAATTTATTTTATTTTAATAAATATTGTGTAAATGATTTAAGAAGTAGACATTTGATCCATTCAACTGTTTGTAGTATGGAGATTAAATATTAATTATTTTTTATCTGTTAATATTGTTTTATCTGTTAAATGTTACTGTATCATTAATGATATATGTGTTGAAATCCTTTATAAAATTATGTTGCATTTGTTTTTATTACACTTGAAAATTACATAAAACCTGATGTATACATTCTAGTGTTGCTAATTTAAAAGTGCCTCAATTTGAGTTTACAAATTATGCCTTGCTATGACCCGGTCCATTGTTTTCTTTTGAATTTACTTGTTTAACTACAAATTATGCAAAAATGTGTTTTCCACTGCGATTCATTCACCTTATTGTATAAATATAAATATTTGTTTGCAATATTTACATTATTGTAGAGTATAACACTAGAGTCTTTTGATTATGCATGACAGTGTTGAAATTTGGATAGATTCACAATTCATAATTTTGTCGTCCTGAATATACATGAAATATTTGCCACTGGACGCCAATATAATATTGTAGCTAGGTTGTTTATGTTTGCTTAAGAATTATATTAGAAATCAGCATGTAGAATTCAAACAAATTGTATAAATCACATTAAATAAGCTTTTTATTGGGAGATGATTAGGATATGATTTGTATAAATAGAAATTGTTAACTATGATTTGTTACCAGTACTTTAGGAATTGATTTTTTCCAACAGGGTATTTTCTGATACACCAGGCTGCTTTCATAACTTATGGTGACTTGAATTCATGTGACATGTGTGAATCATATAAAAATTATTGCCATATGTCAAGGTCTAAATTTCCCGCAGTCTTATATGTATAGAATACTATAAATTATCAGGTTTTCTACACATTGATATCATAAAATATCAGCTGCAAGCTATAATGTGAACATATTTGATGAGTGAGCATAGCGAATGAGCAACAAAGCTTCACATTATGTCAAGTGGCTTAACTTTTACAATATCTTTACATACAAATCACTATAATCAGTTAATTGTTATATGAATGATCCTTTTCCCCTCCCTTAAACAGTTTTAAGCTTGACGAAGGTAAGCTTGATAATGTCTCCTCACACATTTTATAATTGCTGATAACTTCTCCTCAGTCATTGTGACAGTGCTAATAATGTCTGCTCACTTCCCATAGCTGTGATATGAGAATAACACAGTAATCAGAGGTGTGATATAGGCAAAGGGAAGGCCGATTAGTACTATTAAGGGAAGGCCGATTAGTACTATTAAGGGAAGGACGATTAGTACTATTAAGGGAAGGCCGATTAGTACTATTAAGGGAAGGCCGATTAGTACTATTAAGGGAAGGCCAATTAGTACTATTAAGGGAAGGCCGATTAGTACTATTAAGGGAAGGCCGATTAGTACTATTAAGGGAAGGCCGATTAGTACTATTAAGGGAAGGCCAATTAGTACTATTAAGGGAAGGCCGATTAGTACTATTAAGGGAAGGCTGATTAGTACTATTAAGGGAAGGACGATTAGTATTATTAAGGGAAGGCCAATTAGTACTATTAAGGGAAGGCCGATTAGTACTATTAAGGGAAGGACGATTAGTACTATTAAGGGGAGGCCAATTAGAACTATTAAGGGAAGGACGATTAGTACTATTAAGGGAAGGCCGATTAGTACTATTAAGGGAAGGACGATTAGTACTATTATGAATAAATTCCATATGGACTAGGTCTGACAGTTAATACACAACTCCAACACAATGTTGCTCTAAAAACTATAAAACACAAGTTTTACTACAAAACATTTTGGAAAAATATATCTCACTTATAAGATTCATATTTTTTTAAGAGATGTTGAAACAATCATGTGCTATAATTTTTCAATGTGTTTATATCTGAAAAATTAAAATACACCGCCTTTTCGCAGGTTACCTATTTATGCATTTGATTGATAATATTCTGACATGTTTTTGTTTGTGGCCATTTTCCAGCATGTACTTTGGGGTTATGTAGATAAATATATTTTTTTTAAATTATGCCCTGTCCACTGGGCATAATTGGGACAGGGAGCTAATATTCTAAACCATAAATTTAAAACTGCAAAATATTGTGAGTGGAAGAGTTTTAACATAGACATCAAAGTTATATCCATTTTGATATTTGAAACAACACTTTTCTCATTTTACAAATAGTAATTTAATGCTTTGAAATCTGTTGAATGGATAAAATGTTGCTTGCCGATATTTTTGTATTCCTTATAGTTCATAGATTATTTTACACCAACATGCATTGAATATTGCAGCTGTGATTGAGGGACCAACAATGAAAATATATGTTTTTATTTTTATGAAGCAATGCTCTTATCATGTCAGATTTGTTTATACCAAAGTAATAAATTGTATTATACCTATGATATGGGGAAAATAAAGCAATGTCTTTCATGATGACTTTTGTCATTTTTCAGCCAAAAAGTACCATATGATACCCCCACTCACAACTGACATCAGTTCCAAACTTTTGCCGTATATTTTTCTGCCTCTGTGTTAATGTATGAATTGATATGTTGTCTAGAACTCTTTTATTTTGAGTTGTAACGTATAAACAATTTTTTGATCTGCCAGGCAAGCACATACTGTTTGACATTACTTAATACCTACTGAGCATGTAATTTTTCTGTCTTTCATTTTATCTCAGCTTCAGTAATAAGGAATAATTTGATATTTGGTCTAGAACAGTATTATACCATTAAGAATTATCTGTATCACTGATGACCATACATATATTCAACTTGTTGTACCTAAGAATCCCTCCACATTTGTGACATCACTGAAAGGGACTTCTTATCATTTTTATACGACCGCAAAAAAATTTTTGTGGTCGTATATTGGTATGACGTTGGCGTCGTCGTCGTCGTCGTCCGGCGTCGTCCGAAGACACATTTGTTTTCGCACTCTAACTTTAGTTTAAGTGAATGGATCTTTATGAAATTTTACCACAAGGTTCAATACCACAAAAGGAAGGTTGGGATTGATTTTGGGGGTTATGGTAATAACAGTAAAGGAATTAGGGGCCAAAAAGGGGCCAAAAATAAGCATTTTTGTAACTTCCAGACATAACTTGTGTGTTAGTGTATGGATCTCTCTGACATTGTACCACAAGGTTCCATATCACTAAAGGAATGCTGGGATTGATTTTGGGGGTAATTGCCTCCAAATTTTAGGAATTAGGGGCAAAAAAAGGGGCAAAAAACAAGCATTTTTCTAGTTTCATGACAATAACTTGTGTGTAAGTGTATGGATCTTTCTTAAATTGTACTACAAGGTTCCATATCACAAAGGGAAAGCTGGGTTTGAGTTTGGGGGTAATTGCCCTAAACGTTTAGGAATTTGGGGCCAAAAAGGGGCCAAAAAACACATTTTTTTCTAGTTTCCAGACAATAACTTGTGTTCAAGTGTATGGATCTCTCTGAAATTGTACTGCAAGGTACCATACCACAAAGGGAAGGCTGGGATTGAGTTTGGGGGTGATGAATCATAATAGGGGTTCAAAAAATTTGGGGGGGGGGATTTATTTTTTTTCCCTTTTTTTTCTTTTTTTCCTTTTTTGTTTCTTTTAAAATTTTCCATTTTAAGTTGGTTATTTCTGATTTATATTTAAAATCAAATAATAATGATATGGTAGGAGATACACACCAAACAGGATGTGTAAATTATTATATAATAAGTATTGTGCAATAGCAAGAAATTTTCAATTGCACAGTATTGCACAATAGAAAAATCTTCAATTGCACAGTATTGCGCAATAGCAAGAAATCTTCAATTGCACAGTATTGCGCAATAGCAAGAAATATCCAATAGCACAATATTGCGCAATAGCAAGAAATTGTCAATTGTACAGTATTGCGCAATAGCAAGAAATATTTAATAGCACAGGATTGTGCAAAAGAAGATACTTCCTATAAATTGCTTATTTCTTGACCAATTTCAATGGGGTTTTATTCTTTATTTCATGGGGTTCTTTAATATGCTGAATCTAACCGTGTATTTAGTTTTTGGATTTTGGGCCCCGTTTTTAAATTGGTCCACATTGAGGTCCAAAGGGTCCAAAATTAAACTTTGTTTGATTTCATCAAAAATTGAATTATTGGGGTTCTTTGATATGCCGAATCTAACCGTGTATTTAGATTCTTAAATTTTGGTTCCGTTTTCAAATTGGTCTACATTAAGGTCCAAAGGGTCCAAAATTAAACTTAGTTTGATTTTAACAAAAATTGAATTCTTAGGGTTCTTTGATATGCTGAATCTAAACATGTATTTAGATTTTTGATTATGGGCCCAGTTTTCAAGTTGGTCCAAATCGGGGTCCAAAATTAAACTTTGTTTGATTTCAACAAAAATTGAATATATGGGGTTCTTTGATATGCTGAATCTAACCATGTATTTCAATTTTTGATTTTTGGGCCCCGTTATCAACTTTGTCCACATTGAGGTCAAAAGGGTCCAAAATTAAACTTTGTTTGATTTCATCAAAAATTGAATTATTGGGGTTCTTTGATATGCCGAATCTAACCGTGTATTTAGATTCTTGATTTTTGGTTCCGTTTTTTCAAATTGGTCTACATTAAGGTCCAAAGGGTCCAAAATTAAACTTAGTTTGATTTTAACAAAAATTGAATTCTTAGGGTTCTTTGATATGCTGAATCTAAACATGTATTTAGATTTTTGATTATGGGCCCAGTTTTCAAGTTGGTCCAAATCGGGGTCCAAAATTAAACTTTGTTTGATTTCAACAAAAATTGAATATACGGGGTTCTTTGATATGCTGAATCTAACCATGTATTTAGATTTTTGATTTTTGGGCCCCGTTATCAACTTTGTCCACATTGAGGTCAAAAGGGTCCAAAATTAAACTTTGTTTGATTTCATCAAAAATTGAATTCTTGGGGTTCTTTGATATGCTGAATCTAACCATGTATTTAGATTTTGGATATTGGACCATAATAGGTGAATATCCAATTTAAAATTTTTAAGTTCTTAGACCACATTCATTCTGTGTTAGAAACCTATGCTGTGTCAAATATTTAATCACAATCCAAATGCAAAGCTGTATCAAGCTTGAATGTTGTGTCCATACTTCCCCCAACTGTTCAGGGTTCGACCTCTGCGGTCGTATCAAGCTGCGCCCTGCGGAGCATTTTATCTTACTTGTAATGAGTCACATGACAGGTGCCACTAGTGGATCAGGAACTGCTTATCCTTCTTGAGCACTAAGTTCACCACCAGTTTTAAGTCAGGTTCCTGTTGTTTTATCTTTAGTATTCAGTGTAGTGTTTTGTTTAATATTGCTATTTTCTTTTCCTCATTTCTCTTTTTGGACATGGTGTTGTCTGTTTTTAGCTCACCTAGCCCAAAGTGCCAAGTGAGCTTTTCTCATCATAGGGCGTCCATCGTCAGTTAACTTTTACGAAAATCTTCTCCTCTGAAACCACTGGGCAAAATTTCACCAAAGTTGGCCACAATCATCATTTGGGTATCTAGTGAAAAAACTGGCCCCTGCTCGCAAAAAATGCTTGAAGTCATTTTTAGGAGTGGAAATTTGAGAATGAAAGTCTGTATAACTTTTATTTTCACGAAATTTTCAATGTCAAAAGCCCACAAATTCGGCACAAATCAGACTAAAATCAATCTGTATATCATCATAGTAGACTTGCATACTAAAAATCAGCTCAATATGTGGAGGCGTTTAGAAAAAAGTGTGTATAACTGTTACAAATGTATTTTCACAAAATTTTCAAAGTCCAAAGCCTGTAATTTCAGCAAAATTCATTGGAGCGGAACCAAGCATAAACTTGATCTGTAACTCATCATAGTAGACTCACATTCTAAAAATCAGCTTAAAATGTGAAGGCCTTCAGAAAAAAGTCTGTATAACTGTTTTTTTCACAAAATGTTCAAAGTGCAAAGCCTGTTGTTTCAGCAAAAATTAGCGGAGCAGAACCAAACTTAAACTCGATCTGTGACTCATCATAGCAGACTCACATTCTAAAAATCAGCTCAATATGTGAAGGTGTATTGAAAAAAGTCTGTATAACTGCTATTTTCATGAAATTTTCAAAGTCCAAAGGCCATAATTTCTCCAAAAATCATGCAGCGGAGCGGAACCAAACGTAAACTCGATCTGTAACTCATTATAGTAGACTCACATTCTAAAATTCAGCTCAATATGTTAAGGCGTTTAGAAAAAAGTCTATAACTGTTCATTGCTGAATGATGGATACGGGTAAAACTATATGGCCTCAACAACTTTGTTGCTGGGCCATGAAAAGGTGTCCGATGGCTAAAACTAGAACATTTGGGTAAAATGCAAGTTTTGTTTATTATCTTGAAAACCGCTATAGATAGAGAAAATCTGACCAAGTGTAGAATTGTTGAAAATGTTGGGATCTATCTACCTATTGTCTTTTACATCTGTCAGACAATTTGTTGTAGTAATTATTGCCATTAAATGAAGATTTTTATAATTTTTTTGCATTTTTGACTTATATCTTCACTATTATAGATAGAGGGAAACTTTGAATAGTAAAAATGATCATCAAACAAAGATTTACATATATGACAACATTGCTGAAATCGTCAGACAACTCCTTATTGGGAGTTTTTAATGATGATTTTAACCATTTTTTGGCGTTTTTGCCTTGTGTCTTACAAATTATACTATATCGGTAGAATTTTAGATAAGCAAAAATTATCAGCAAGACAAGATCTACAATTAAGTCTTATGGAAGAAATCATCTGATGACTCCTTAATAGAGTTTTTGACCTTTAGTGGTGATTTTTACCCATTTCTTTTTTTTGGGGTCTTTGTCTTGTATCTTAAATTTATAATAGAAATAGATAGAAACTTAAATAAGCATATATAAATATATAAACAGCAAGACAAGATCTACACATAACTCAAATAGCAGAAATCGTCAGCCGACGCCTTATTGGAGTAATTGCTCTTTAATGATGAGTTTTACCCATTTTTGTGTTTCTGTCTATTATCTTGAAAACTATAAAAGATAGATTGACACTTTAAATAGCCAAAATTATCAGCAAAACAAGATCTTCATATAAGTCAAGAAGGCTGAAGTCGTCAGTTCACACCTTTTTTGGAGTACTTGCTCTTTAATGTCGATTTTTACCAATTTTGTGCATTTTTTCCTATTATCTTGAAAACTACAAACGATAAACACTTTAAATAGCAAAGATGATCTACAACTAAGCCAAGTTTTGCCGAAATCATAGTTTATTGGACTTATAGTTTTTAGCTCACCTGGTCTATCATATGATGACTGTCGTCCCCCTGGGCCAAATTTAAGCAAGTTTGGCCACAATCAACATTGGGGTATATGATTTAAAAAATGTGTTTGATCCTGCCAACCAACATGTCTGAAATGGCTAAAAATATAACATGGGGTTTTGTCTATTATCCTGAAACCCGCTATTTATAGAGAAAATCTGACATTGGCAGAATTGTTCAGAATGTTGAGATCTGTGCATTTACATCAAAATTTTTAGACAACTTCTAAAGGAGTTATTGCCCTTAAATTACTAATGTAACCATTTTTTGTTTCATTTTAATAACAAATAGAGAGAAACGTAAAAAGCAAAAATGATCAGCAAGACAAGATCTACAAATAATTCAATGTATCCAAAGTAACAGTCAACTAGTAACAGGAGCCGAGATATCGCAGTGTAATGGTGATTTTTACATTTTTTTTTTGCATCTTCGCAGTTAATTTTGAAAACTATAATAGATAGAAAAACTTTGAATTGCTAACATGATCAGCAAAACAAGATCTGCAAGTAGGTTGACATTGCCAAAATCGTCAGTTCTTGCCCTTGAATGATGATTTTGCCAACTTTTTGTGTATTGCCTATTATTTCAAATAGTATTATTAAAAGATCAGACATTATCAGCAAGGTAATACCTGCAAACAGGTCAGCATAGTTGGAAGAGTACACTGAGCTGTCTTCTTATAGTAGTGTTTGCCCGTTAATGACTTATTTTTATTTTTACGATTTGTTTGTGTTTAGGACATATTCTTTAGAAGATGGAGATATCAAAAAGAAAAAAATATCAGCAATACAAGATAAAATAAAGTGATTTTAGTCATGAATTGTATTCTAGTCTACATTGTTGGGGAATGCCCCATTTTGAAGATACATAGACCTAGGTGAGTTATACAATATAAAAATAAGAAGATGTGGTATCATTGCCAATGAAACTCTCCTAAAGTTCAAATGAAGTGGATGTGAGCAATTATAGGAAGGCAACCGTACGGCCTTCAACAATGAGAAAAAACCCATACCGTATAGTCGGCTTACGCTATATAACTGGCCCCGACAAGAACAATATAAAACAATTCAGTTGAGAAAACTAACGGCCTAATTTATAACAAAACAATTTACGAAAAACAAATATGACAGACATAAACCAACGACAACCACTGAGCTACAGGTTCCTGACTTGGAACAGGCACATTAGAATGTGGCGGAGTTTAACATTTTTGAAGGCGCCAGCCCTCCCCTAACTGGAGTTAAACCTTTGGCAGATGTGTAACAGTACAACTTAAGAACAAACTACTAGTATAAAAATCAGTTTAAAAGGGCTTAACCCATCAGATTGATACAAAGCAGAAAAAACATCAAACAAAAACACAGACCTCCTTAGAACCTCTTGTTTATTGCCCCTATGTATCTTCTCATTTTATTATGCTGAGTTGTACCCTGTAAGCAGTTTTCTGAGTTGTACCCTGTAAGCAGTTTTCTGAGTTGTACCCTGTAAGCAGTTTTCTGAGTTGTACCCTGTAAGCAGTTTTCAGATCTGATTTGCAGTCACTACTTGTTTGAAGATACTTTGAATTTTTATGATACCTGCAAAGGCGTGTCGGTTAGACAGGTTTTAATGTATATTTTTAACCTGTTCCATCAGTTATAAGAAAGACATGCATGAGGTACCCATTTTCTGGTAGTCACATAATCACTAATCTTTTCATCTGTAGAATTCATAAACAATTTTACCTGTTAATGATAATTCATCATTCACAACACTAACAGAAAATCTGTGTCAGTTTGACAGGAGCACATTTAGCCTCCATCACAATATGCTGGAAATACTCTGCTTGGTTCTTTTTTAAAGGATATGAAATTTATACTATCGATCAAAACTAATGCTTGAGGGTATGGAGGAGGGGGGGGGGGGGGGGGTCATTCATTTCTGTATTCCTTAATTTTTTAAATAATTTTTCTCTATTCTTTATACTTCTTGCCCATTATTCTCTATTCTTTATATTTTAGCACCTCATTTTTCTCTATTCTTGATTTTTTGTGTCCAATTTTCTCTATTCTTTATATTTTTTGCCCTTTTTTCTCTATTCTGTAAACCCCCATCCACACCCTCATACTTCAATTTGTTTTTATTCAATCATTCATAGTAACCAGTAAAAAAAAACAAACAAACATATGACGCATTTTTATTAGTTGTTATTGGCTTTGAACTAGCTGTCAGTAACTGTGAGTACTCTAAGATCTGTACTTAGTGTCTTTTTGTTGTAGGGGTGTATAAGTACCCTGCCACTTCCACTCTGTGTTTTTGTTAGATGTATTTCTATTTGTATCCATCTGATGAGTCTGTATGTGCCTGTCCCAAGTCAGGAGCCTGTAATTCAGTGGTTGTCATTGTTGCTGTGTAACATATTTGTTTTTGTTCATTATTTTGTACATAAATTAGGCCGTTAGTTTTCTCGTTTGAATTGTTTTACATTTGTCATTTCGGGCAATTTATAGCTGACTATATGTGGTATGGGCTTTGTTTATTGTCGATACCCGTACGGTGACCTATAGTTGTTAATTTCTGTTTCATTTTGTCTCTTGTGGAGAGTTGTCTCATTGGCAATCATACCACATCTTCTTATTTTTATATATGGACTATCTTTTTTTATCACCAATTCTAATATGACACTTATGACAGTTAACCTGATCTTCTGCAATTACACGGCCACCATAAATAAACTGATTACTTTGCCACTTTTGGATGCGCATGTAAATATTTTATAGAAACTAGAGGCTCTAAATTAAGAGCCTGTGTCGCTCACCTGGATCTTCAACAATGGCCACTTTTTAGTAAAAAATCATCATTAAAGGGGAATAACCCTATTAAGTGTTAACTGACAATTACAGTCATGTTGGCATATTTGTAGATCATATCCTGCTGATATTTTTCCTGTTTAAAGTTTCTATTTATCTATTATAGTTTTCAAGATAATAGACAAAAAACATTAAAAATAATCATTAAACGGCAATAACTCCAATAGTGAGTCTACTGAAGATCTCGGCCATAATGGCTTATTTGTGGATCTTGTATTGCTGATCATTTTTCCTATTTAAAGTTTCTATCTTTATATTACAGTTTTTAAGATATAAGGCAAAAACGCAAAAAAATTATAAATATCGTCATTACAAGGCAGTCACGTGCACTCCAATAAGGCTGAGTCGACTGAAGATTTCGGCCATGTTGACTTATATTGTAGCTCTTACCTTGCTGATCATTTTTGCTACTCAAAGTTTCTATCTATCTATTATAATTTCGAGATAATAGGCAAACATTTTTAAAAATGGTAAAATGCATCCTCTAAGGGCAATAACTTTTACAAGAAGTCGTCTGACAGTTTTGATCTAAATAAACAATAGGTAGAGCTTAACATTTTTAATATGTTTGCCCTTGTCAGATTTTCTCTTTTCATAGCGGTTTTCAAAATAATACGCAAAACTTGCATTTTACCCCTATGTACTATTATTAGCCATGTCGGCCATCTTGGTTGGCAGGCGGGGTCATCGGACACATTTGTAAAACTAGATACTCCAATGATGATTGTGGCCAAGTTTGGTTGAATTTGGCACAGTAGTTTCAGAGTAAAGGACGACGGACGATAACGACGACAGTCGACGAAGACGGACGAAAGACGCCAAGTGATGAGAAAAGCTCACTTGGCCTTTTGGCAATGTGAGCTAACAAGAGGCTCTCAAGAGCCTGAATCGCTCACCTGTATTTCAGAGGAGAAGATTTTTAAATGTTAGCAAACTTGATGAACAAATTGTGTAAAATTGTCTTTAAAGGGCAATAACTCCTTAAGGGGTCAATTGACAATTTTTGTCATATTAACTTTATTGTAGATCTTACTTTGCTGAACATTATATATATATCTATAATAATATTCAAAATAATAACAAAAAACTGCAAAATTTTGTGAAAACTACCAATTCGGTGGCAGCAACCCAACAATGGGTTGTTCGATTCGTCTGAAAATTTCAGAGCTGATAGATCTTGACCAATTGAACAATTTTAACCCATGTCAGATTTGCTCCAAAAGCTTTAGTTTTTGAGATATAAGCCAAAAACTGCATTTGATCCCTATAGTCTATTTTTAGCCATGACGGCCATGTTGTCGATGGATCAAATCACCGGATACAATTTATAAACTAGATACCCTAAGGAACATTTAGTTAAAGTTTGAAGGTATTTGGCCCAGTAGTTTCAGAGGAGAAGATTTTTGAAATAGTTTACGACGACAGAAGACGACGACAGACGACGGACGACGACGGACGCCAAGTGATTGCATAAGCACACATGGGGCCCTTCGGGCCCCGGTGAGCTAAAAAGGGAGATTTGTGCTATACATTCTATATACAGTGTACGATTGGCGAATAAAATATTCTTTTGTTTTTTACCTTTGTATAAAACTTATAATTAATGGATTTCGGGTAAGAATGGTGCAATATTTGACAGAGTACATGAAAAATTTGAAGTTTAGAGAAAACGAGTGTTAATTTTGAGGGAAAACCCGAGTTTGAAGTTGAGAGAAAACGAGTTAGAAGTTGGGAGAAATATAATTTGAAGTTGGGAGAAATCTAATTTGAAGTTGGGAGAAGACGAACTAGTACATTCGGAATATTGTGATGTTTTGGTTCCTTTTTCCAAAATATAACAAATATCCGGTCTTTCGAGTTACTCTTATACTTTTCCATTAAAGAATGTGGGCGTTGTCAACATGTACAAACATGATGTTATTTTTTCTATAAAACTGACAAGTTTTGCATACGAAAGCATAATTGACGTCCCTGTGAAACAGAAAACACTAGCTCACGGTATACTAAAACATCTGAACTATTGAAAAATTATTTTAAGGACAATAACATGTAACAATTTAATCACTAAACAGTTAATCGTTTATCAAATGAAAACTTAAAGTACACACAAACACACACAATATAATATATGCTGATATCAGCTGTAGAATGAAGCATGTACAGTGACCAGTTCCAAATGTTACAATAAAAACTTATTGTCCCAAATATCTGAATATATAAAGCAGTTTTTAAAATCTATAAAACGAAAGTATATAAATGATATTTTGCAGGATAGAGATGGCACCACATAAAAAGGAAAAATGTAAATACTGGGAGAAATGTTTCAGAAAAGATCCTGCCCACAAAAGAGATTACCTCCATCCTGGTGATAAAGAGGAAGCAAAACAAAAAAATGCTGGTGTGTATATCATGTATATTATCATGTATATTATGTATATACTGTGGATTCATTTATTTTCGTTGGTACGAAAACTTGCATTTTTCGTGGATATTTGATTTCTTGGTTTTGCCAATGTCTGCGTAAATGGAATGATTGTAATTCATTGAACTTCTAAATTCGTGGTTCACCTGTTCCCACGAAACCCACGAAAATTAGTATCCAACGAAATAATAATGAATCCACAGTAATATATATAATATTTATTATATTGACACATACAATTAAACATTTAGGGTTCATTAAACATTTCAAGTTAAATTTTAAATGAATATGAATTATTCTGGTTTTATCACTTGTCCAATATTGATGACTTGTCATAAGTAAATCTCCTTATATTAACCAGTCAGTTTGTATAAATTTGTTCTATTGATCTATGATTTAACATGATATCCATTTCCAAGGAAACAAGAAATACACCCCAGTGGAATGCATAGTTTCATTTGTTTCTAGTGATATGTTATTTCCTTACCCTGTCAGAGTATAAAAACATTTTTTTTATAAACAAATTTACATTTTATACAGATGTAGAAATGAAAGATGAGACAGTCAGCAAACCAACATTAAAGAAAAGTGACACAGATATCTTAATGGATGATGAAACAATAGAGACAAAACCTAAATTAAAGAGAAATAGGACACATGCTATCAGTGATGATGAAGATGATGAACCATCACCACCACCGGTGAAGAAATTACGATCTAAAACTGTTTCTGTTGCAAAGGTAGATTTAGAATTAGATCCTGTAATCAGCTAATTAGCTATCCAACTATGTTTTGATGTGAATCATCAATACTAATTGCTATTTGTTGATAGCTATAAATCTTACACAAGCACTCAACATTTCCAATGATGCTGAATGTCAACCATAGAATTGACGAAAGACATCATCGGATCAAAAGTAGAATATTGTATTTGAATATCAAGTTGAATAGCTATATATAGTAACAATAAACATTCTTTGTATTTCTATTCAAATAAGTCATTATGTAACATTTTTCAATGTAAATAGATATAAGAAGATGTGGTATGAGTGCCAATGAGACAACTCTCCATCCAAGTCAAAATTTATAAAAGTAAACCATTATAGGTCACAGTACGGTCTTCAACACGAAGCCTTGGCTCATACCGAACAGTAAGCTATAAAGGGCCCCAAAAAATTACTAGTGTAAAACCATTCAAACGGGAAAACCAACGGTCTAATCTATATAAAAAATGAGAAACGAGAAACACTTATGAACCACATCAACAAACGACAACTACTGAACATCAGATTCCTTGTTTGTTTGTTTTGAAATAACTTTCTATGTTAAAGATATCTTCTGTGTCCAATACATTATCATTATATTAGATATTATGGACCCCGAACCCCTTTATATTAGATGTTGTGGACCCCGGACCCCTTTAATATAGTAGATGTTGTGCATGGACCACTTTGTTGTAGATAATGTGCATGGACCACTTTGTTGTAGATGCTGTGCATGGATCACTTTTTTGTAGATGCTGTGCATGGATCACTTTGTTGTAGATGCTGTGCATGGACCACTTTGTTGTAGATGCTGTGCATGGATCACTTTTTTGTAGATGCTGTGCATGGATCACTTTGTTGTAGATGCTGTGCATGGATCACTTTGTTATAGATGCTGTACATGGATTACTTTGTTGTAGATGCTGTGCAAGGATCACTTTGTTGTAGATGCTGTGCATGGATCACTTTGTTGCAGATGCTGTGCGTAGATCACTTTGTTGTCGATGCTGTGGACCACACAGTAGGCTTACATTAGATTCTATAAATTATTTTGTACAGGAAACAGGAAGTGGTGATTCAAAGATGGATGAAGATGATGATGCTGTTGCTTCAGGTTCAAGTGAAGATGTATATATTCCTAAATGTCAGTATTGGGATGAATGTTACAGAAAAGATCCAAACCATCGTAAACAGTACAGACATCCTGGTGATGGCAGAAAAAGTTCCCGTCCAAAACCGGCAAAGAAACTCGAGGAAGGAGTTCAAGTTAGTTTAACTGGTGGTTACCGACTGAAAAAGCTCGGTAGTGATTACACATGCACGTAAGTTTTCACCTGTTCATGTTGTGGGAATCGAATTGTAGAGATGTAAATTCACTAGTCTTACAAATTTTTGTAGAATTGTAAAGATGTAAATTGAAAAGTTAGAAATGTGAAATTTTTTTTTTTAAAACAAAGCTTACCTGATAAAAAGCTAAATTTTAATTTTGAAGCATTAAAACTCATAGCTAAAAAGTTTGTTTATTTTCTTTATTAAAAATGTGTTCATCAAATCTACATGATAGTTCTGCCGAGAATCTTAACATACAGATTTGAAGTTGTTATAAATTTCACATAAACATGCATGTAATAGCCTCTTTTCATTTTATTTTTAATGAAGTTACCTGGTTTAATTTCTCTCTGATTACTTATTTTAACAGATGTATTGGATGGAAAATACAGAAAAATGCTACAAATAAGAGAACATGTAAACACTTGAGGGAATATCTTGGTGATAACTTTGAAAAGGCCAGAATTGGACAACTTCCTGTGGAAAAAAGAAAACCTGTTGAACCAAGTCAACGTTTCCAACATATAACGATAAGTCTTCTGCTGGCTCATAAATATGAAGCAAAGTAAGTATTATTATGAGAGAGGTCATTAAATATTACAACTACAAAAAGGGAGATAATTTGTGTTGTATTCTTACTACCATTTTAATAGGATTGTATATGTTGACCTTTATAAGTATATTTCTTATGTGATGTTAGATTGTTAAGTTCTCATTGAAATATACTAAACATTTCCATTTAATCATATACATGTATGGAAAGGCATTGTTCATAAAATAACAATTAAGAAACAAAGTATTTTCTTTATGATTCTAAGATGATTTAAATGCTTTACTGAAAATTTAATACCATAAAGGAATCAGATTTGTATATTCCTGATTGAATTTGTTAAGTCTAATTTCAAATTGTGACCAATTTAAAGTAAACATTTTTTCTCTTTAGAAATTGTAGTGATCCAGTTGGATGGTGGATAAGTGAAAAGTTGGATGGAGTCAGAGCATTTTGGAATGGAAAGTAAGATATTAATTTCTTTAGTCAGTTTCTTGTCTTTTGTCCACAATCAAATTTCAACAATGTACAAAAAACAAAATATTTATGAAATTGAGAAAAAAAATTAGAAACCAAATTAAATTTCACCAACAACCAACTTAAATGATGATAAAATCTGTAAAATATTGAAATAAACTTGTATAAAATATAATGAATTACCCAGTATGTATATATAACTATTATTTTGTTTTGTTTTTCAGATGTTTCTATTCAAGGCTAGGAAACCCATTTTATGCACCAAAATGGTTTACAAAGGTAATAATAAAATTTACTATTTCCAAATATCAGAAGATTTATCACAATGTCATTAATTTTTTGTGGGTTGCTATTTCATGGACAACATTATTTTTTATCATTTAAGCGGGTGGTACAGGGTTCTTTTTTGTGCAACATATTTGCAATTGTTATTTCACGTCTTTGTGCTTGAATCTTATCATTTACTTTGTTTCATTCAACTTGGTAAAGAAGCAACATGTAAGGAATTTTTTTTATTTAAAAAATTAACCGCTGTAATTCAATTTTTAGGATTTGCCAAAAGACTTTCATTTAGATGGTGAATTATTTGGAGGACGAAAGAAATTTCAGCAGACAATAAAAGTTGTGAAGAATGCTGAGTGTGCTGACTGGAATAAGATAAAATACTGTGTAGGTTTATTATAAGATAAAATACTGTGTATGTTTATTATAAGATAAAATACTGTGCAGGTTTATTATAAGATAAAATACTGTGTAGGTTTATTATAAGATAAAATACTGTGTATGTTTATTATAAGATAAAATACTGTGCAGGTTTATTATAAGATAAAATACTATGTAGGTTTATTATAAGATAAAATACTGTGCAGGTTTATTATAAGATAAAATACTGTGCAGGTTTATTATAAGATAAAATACTGTGTAGGTTTATTATTTTGTTTATGTTTATTCAAGTTAACATATGATATAAAACTTGCTAGAAAATTGTAATTATTTAACTTTAAAGTTAGGTACATGAAATTTAAAAATCATCAGCAAGGACTTTCACAAAAAAAAGTTAGGGAATTTAAAATGAAGTGGAATGCACTCTTTTATTGAACGATATGTTCAATAAAAGAGTGCATTCTGTGATATACAGATTGAAAGTTATTAATAGGTACAACTTAGTATTGGCTTAAAGAAAGCCATTAAGACCTTGATCACTGATACATATTTCATATGTAGTGCCTTCATGAATATATAAATGCTGCTTTTTAAGTAGCTCTAAGATATCATTTGACAAATATTGTTCATATTTTTTATAGGTTTTTGATTCACCAAATATGGGGAAAGATACTTTTGAAAAGAGAACAAAGACAGTGAAAGATTGGTTTGATACAAATAAGTAAGTTTTCACATTAAAGTATAAAACAATTATAGTAAAGGACAAGTTACTATGAATTTGAATTGAACTAAAATTCCAGCTTCCACCTAATGAACAGTACAGAGAAAATATTGTAGATCCTAACAAAACTTTAAAATCCCTTTGCCTGATTGAAAAGTGATAAACATGGATTGCAAGGACTAATCGTGTTAAATCGAACAATTACCGGTAATAGGAATTATTTATCCCATTTTTTTGCATTTGTATACAATTTCTAATTTAAGCATTAAAAAAAAACAAATGTTTATGATTATTTACTGAAATTTATATATATAATAAAAAAAAAAATCTATATAATTTTCTACATTACACATTCTTTCAAAAATGTTGCTAATATTTCCAGGCCTCAGTATGCTGAATTTGTTGATCAGTATAAATGTACCAGTAAACAACAATTAGAGGATGATCTGAAAAAGATGATAAAACTGGGAGGAGAAGGTCTGATGATAAGACAGCCAGGATCTGTGTACGAGAGATGTAGATCTAAAACATTACTCAAACTCAAGAAATTTTATGATGCAGAGGTATATTATATTGTTTAGTTGATGTGAATTATTTGATATTACTGGTTGTCATTTTATCTATTTACAATAATAGGAATATTGGTGAGACAGCAACTTTCAACACATATAGCCATGAACAAATGAACATCACATATAGCCATGAAACAAATGAACAACACATAGCCATGAAACAAATGAACAACACATAGCCATGAAACAAATGAACAAAACATAGCCATGAAACAAATGAACAAAACATAGCCATGAAACAAATGAACAATAGTCTACTTCTAAATTTAGCATATATAAATGTGTAGAAATAATTAATGGATTCAAATTATTGGATTATAGTTACATCAACTTGTATTAAATCAAATAGACACATAGTGGTTACATGAAAAACTAATTATATCTAAATGTTCATAATATTTACTCATTATTTCTGTAATTTTCAGGCAGTTGTCATTGGTTACGATCCTGGAAAAGGTCGTTTTACAGGGGCTGTTGGAGCTTTAAGATGCAAGATGGAATGTGGAAAAGTTTTTAAAGTTGGATCTGGGTAACTATGATATTTTCTTTTGTTAACTGTAATTGGCAGATGAAATGAGTACTATTTTCCTATAAGTATGAGTAAATGTTGACAGTTGATTGACAAAGGTCAATGAGACAGCAACCAGGAACACAATTTAATCCATATAGACATATATTTTTTAAAAGAGAAATTTCATCCTGATTTTGAAAGAATTTGGTAATTTCTATGTTACTCTCACACCTTGGTTTATACAATATTCTTTTTTCAATGTGATATATTTGTGATTTATAGATTCTATATTTTGTTTTCAATGCCTTCATACATTGTGCATGTGAATAATTTAAAATACCTGTATTCACACTATTTTAGTATGACAGACAAAGACCACAGAAAACCACCTAAAATTGGGTCCATCATTACATACAAATTCCAGGAATATACAAACTCAGGGAGTCCTAGATTTCCTACATATTTAGGTAAGTATTATTTTTATTTCAAGCAAACAAATTTAAAGTCATTCTCTGTTAACAAAGTATTGGAATACATGCATAACATGTATAAGATAAGAATAAACTTGATATAATTAAATAGGGATTATTCAATGAGGCGCCATTGATAATGTATTTTTTTTAATGATTCAAAAATTTTGTTTTTGGTAAGTCAGAATGAAAGATATACCTGTAAAAAATATGTTGTAAATGTTTACCTGACCTTTAACTTTACAGATATAATCCCATCAAATATGTCTGAGAGGTTAAATTCTCCTTAAGATAGGGAAAGAAATTTGGTTGTTAGGGTGCTATATGCAAATAAAAAACATCCTTGCAATCTAATTCAAATGTACTTTTATGTTTCAGGTGTTAGAATTGATGCAACAGAACCGAAAGATGCAGAGCTCCCTTCACTTCCAGATGATATATAAATAACATCTTTAAAGTGTAAACATCAAGGCAGCATTTGACTATTTACAGGGTTATCTCCCATGACAATTAGAATGACGTGTTGTAGAGTATGGGACAGATTGATTAAATTGTAACTAATATTTATATAATGTATCGGTATGTGTTGTCTGTGTAGAAGAAAATGAAATTGTAAGATTGTATGATTTAGCAGGATATCAATGTAGCGGTATTTATGAAAAATGGTTATTTCAGTGTGGTAGATGAAGATCTTCTTATACTAGATGTCACCATAAGTTTGTTAAAGTTGTTAGTTGATGGGTGATTATTGTTGACAATCTGTTTATGTATATTTTATTTTTTGTAGTGTTAAACTTTTTCTATCATTTTGTCATTACATTAAATTAATAACTTTTTACTGGACATTTTGAATTGATCATTTACATATTGTCATTTTTATTGTGCCATTATGTACTACATAATTGTAAAGTGTGCCATATTTCAATACAATAATCTTATATTATGTTTTTAACATTCTAACCCTGATTCAAAATAAGTATAGACGATTTTATAGATGCATTATACATAAACTCAGGTAGTGCATATAAAATATTAAATGGACAAGTTATCAGAACATCTATGTATCTTTATCACAAACAATCACATAAAGATGTGAAATATTATACTTGGTGTACCACAAGGTCAAAATATTTAGTTGTACAATTTGTACTAAAAATAGAAAAATGGGTTTGTAAAAAAAATTGTCAAGTGGATTCAGTTGCTAAATTTCATTTTTCTATATTCAAGGAACCATCAATGAAGTCCAGATTTTTTTAGTCCTTATTATTTATACTATTAATATTACGTAATATACTTTGTTTGTATAATTTTACACTAAAAAAATACCAATAATTTACACATAATAACACCTTGTTTCTATATGCGATATAGATTTTATATGTTTTTTTTCCTACCTTTATTATTATTTTGAATGTTTATGTTTTACAACCAAATCATGTGCAATGTTTTAACATACATTTTAATATTAACTTATTCATTACATGTTTCTTCATATACCACTAACTTTTTTTCATTTCTGTGATATAATTTATTCATTATAGTTAACATGCATACAAAGGTTTTGAGAATTAAAATGTTTTACAAAAGTCAGCGTCAATTGTTGCTTGGACATCTTTTTGTCTCTATAATTTCTCATTTAAAAAAAAAACCAAAGGTTTGTACACATATATGAAAGTAACATTATACCATTGGTCAAATATCTGTTGTTTAGGAGATTGTTAGCCAATCACATTTGAGGGTATGCTTTATAAATGGTGAATTGCAACACAACAAAAGTTGTGGGAGCTATATTTGTATATGTGGCCTTGCATGCTATTGTAAACATATAATTTGTTTGAGACAGTCATCTCAAAAGTATTAATCATAAGTTTGAAAGCATTTTACTAATGTGACATTAAATGGCAAATGACTGAGGTCCCTTGTTGTGCTCATTGTTTTCCTAATTTCTGTGGGTTTTTGACCTTTTGGTAACTTTAATCTTACTGACAGTCAGTCCTGAACTAGGGTCAAGAGTGTTAAAAGCCAGGGGCATTTCTCTCACCTGAAGTGCATTTTGACCTGGCATTCCTGTTCACAACACAGGATGTGGCTTCAACATGGTCAAATCTGACATGTAACCCGACAGGTTTAGCGGTTGCCCTTGTGACCTGATGTCTCTTTTAAAAGTACCTGGGATCTTTAAAAATATTTAAAAATTTGTTATTTTAATTGCTGTTGTTTTAAAATTTAAAAAATAACCTGGTGTCACATAGGGCAATTTTCAAACGTGACCTTGTGATCTTAAGGGGTATCCTACCAGAACCCACAGGTTAATTTCTCGTGAAAATATGTGATTAATTTTTCCCTTTCAATAGGATACAAGCCAAAGGTTAGCCTATTTTAGCAAGCTATATAGGGCTTGGCTTTTATTATACAGACTAACATGATATATTAGGACAAAGCCTCAGACAGAAAAATTAGCAATCCTTGTCTTAAACTCAACTTGTCCTTTTGCCTATTTAATAAGTAGAAGCAATGAACGTCTTGTAGAAGGTTAGTGCTCTTTTGTTCTCCCATTCACAACCTTTTCTACTACTTAGTGGGCAATGCAATTATTAGTTTTGTAATTATGATTTTATCTCAACAAAGATATAAAGTTGTGGTACAAATTCAGACAAAGATACATTCAAGTGCCTGCGTTTTTCTTTCCATGAACAATTTGAGAATTCGAACAATAATATACACAAAAGGATAAGACACCTTAGTGACCTTACAATCATTCCATACACCAAATATTGTTGACTAGTTGCTAACTGTATTTGAGAAACAGACCCAACAACACAAACTAAAAGTTTAACAATGAACCATGAAAATGAGGTCTTGGTCAGATGAATCCTGCCAGATAGACATGTAGACATAACAATCATTCCATACACCTAATATAGATGGCCTATTGCATAATAGTATCTGAGAATCACTTAAAATTAACATAGATCATTTACCAATGAAATTTCACAGGTCAAGGACTGGTGGACCCTGTCTGACATTCATGCATACCTTGCAATGGTTCTTTCTGACACATATAGCATGAATAGTTGTCCTATTACTCATAATAACTGAAAAAATCATAGTTTTTCAAACAGTGGCTGAACCATGAAAATGTGGTCAAAGACCAGACGGACACTTAAAAATTTAAGGCATGTGTATATAAGATATAAAATATTCTACCCTCTGAAATTTATAGAAAAATATACAAATAGTTTATATCATTGTCTCCGGATTAGCATATATGTATGTCTGAAATTTTAATCCTGGTATCTGTAATGAGTTTATTTGCATTCTGTAATTTATTGCAGGCAAGAAAATAAACAAGAAATCATCTTGAGGTCAATGTACAATCTTCATTAATATACAGGACCCTATGCAATAAGTCAAGCACTAAATCAGTCCAAGTATTACACACAACTTGTTTTCTACATCAATAAAAATTTATTAACCTTATTCATACTCTGATAAATAATTTCAGGATTCAGTCAGATTTGCAATAATTATATAAATGAGGGTCTGAATGGGGGGTCCCTTAATTCAGCATACTTTACTTTTTTAAGCCATTTTTCTTTATTTTTTGTCCATTATTCTCTATTCTTTATTATTTTTATGGGCCTATTTTCTCTATTCTTTATTTTTTTGTAGTTCGTGTATTGGTCCATTATTCTCTATTCTGAAAACCCCATGCAGACCCTCATATGGTCCGAGTACACAGTTATTTCGTAGTGCATTTCTTTTAGACAATAAATGAAAATTAAAAAAATCCCACCTGCGCTTTCTCAATAATATTTTTACAGTGTGTTGTACTACTTTTGGGACAAATTATATCAAAATTATAGAAAACTTCATCGGCTCTAACTCAAAATATGGACAATTTCATGTTAAGGGGGTCTTCAAATCTTTTGACAGCTTCCGAAGTGCTAATTTTTAACATTTTTCAGCTGGACCAAATCACTACTTTACTTTAAAATTCATGACCCAAATTTTTTTACAGTGTCATTTCACCCCCCTACTTACTATTTGAGTCATAAAACATGGAGAAATAAATTTGGAAGGGGTATAAAAAAAATCGACAAGTAACACACTGTCCACACTAGGGACTATATTCGTGGACAACGAAAATCAAAGGACGATAACTGTGTACCCGGACCTAATAGGGTAGAAAAAGTTGACCAATCTTAATAAAACTTGGTATGATTAAAGCTTATTAAATTATAAGACTGCTTACAAAGTTTCATGGCAATAGGATATATATTATAGACATTATGACTAATTCTATATTCAACTTTGCGTCTTAAATTTAGACGTTAAAATTGAAAATTTTCAACTATCAACATTTGGGGCTTAAAAAATTAAAATATTGCAAAAAAATACTTTTGAAATACCTTAGTATATAATATATTATGCATTAAAAGCAACAGAGTACTCATTTGATTTATCAGACTTATCATAGTTATTAAAAAGTCAAATTTATATGAGCCTGTGGCTAAAAATGGAGGTTTTCCAATGAAGGGGGGCCTTACATGAAGATGTAATATTTTCCAGCAATTTTAAATTTGTAAAGCTTTTTGGTTATAAATAATCCTTACATATGTATTAAATGTACTTTAAATGGAAAGAAAACTTGCAAATAACATATCACATTAGTTTAAAAGGGTCTTAGGCCAAGTAAGACTGAAAATAATTTAGGGTCAATTTAGGCCGTATCACATATTTACATTTAAAAATGCATATTGAAGCTATAGGAAATAAAATTTTGTGTCTTTTCTATCATTTCTATACTCAGGTGACATGATACAATAAATCTGAGCACAAAAAGACTCTTGCATTCAACTTTTTTTGCAGACAGTATGGTCTGATACAAAGATTTTTCACTTTTTAGTGAAAAACATGCATGCAATTTTAGTCTCAACAGGCTTATATTTGAACCACTTGCTATCCTACAGAAGAAAAGTAAGATATTATGTGACATAAAACAGGTACAAAGGACATTATTAAGTGCTTTTTATACAAATTTAGTGAGGTCTTTATAATGGACTTCAACTTTTATGTTCCAAGCTCCTCACATTTAACTTGATCCAAACAGGGCGTTAGACGAGGATCATATATACAACACATTTTGCACATATTGTCCGAGATAATCTTCTTTTCTGTAGATTCAGAGTTTACAAATGAGTAATACAACTGGATTGAAGCATAGAAATACAAATATTGACACATAAAAACCTGTCAGATAGAAAGTCAGAATGCCACTTATGCATCAAAATTGAAAAAGGTATGAAATGCTTATTTTGACCATAAAATGCCAAAATTGGTCATTTTTTCAGAAATTCTATCAAATAAAAGTTTAAATCCTTTAGTTTTATGCTATTTGATAAATTGACACCATCAAATCATTCAGGGAAGTTGCCAAAGTACAGATTCTATATTTCCTGATTTCACCTCTTAGGTCCGAGTACACAGTTATTTCGTAGTGCATTTCTTTTAGACAATAAATGAAAATTAAAAAAATCCCACCTGCGCTTTCTCAATAATATTTTTACAGTGTGTTGTACTACTTTTGGGACAAATTATATCAAAATTATAGAAAACTTCATCGGCTCTAACTCAAAATATGGACAATTTCATGTTAAGGGGGTCTTCAAATCTTTTGACAGCTTCCGAAGTGCTAATTTTTAACATTTTTCAGCTGGACCAAATCACTACTTTACTTTAAAATTCATGACCCAAATTTTTTTACAGTGTCATTTCACCCCCCTACTTACTATTTGAGTCATAAAACATGGAGAAATAAATTTGGAAGGGGTATAAAAAAAATCGACAAGTAACACACTGTCCACACTAGGGACTATATTCGTGGACAACGAAAATCAAAGGACGATAACTGTGTACCCGGACCTCATATATGATGGGTTTTGTTGAAGATCTTTGGATTTTTCACTGTTGTTGATTTGCTGTCTCATTAACATATACCATATAAAGGTTAACCAGGAATTCAAATGATCAAGAAAGTTTAAATTTTCTTTAGGCTTGTACAGACATTGGCAAAATCTACGAATTCAAATATCCACAAAAAACATTATTTTTCATTCACCCACGAAAATTGTTATCAACGAAAATTAATTAATCCACAGTAGATCTCAGAGAACACAGGTCTCCAAAGAACACAGGTCTCCAAAATAACCTTACAAATTTTGGGAAGATAAATACACTTTTTTCAAATTCATATAAAATGTATCTGAATCATGTGAATCATGCCAGTAAAAATGTACCCAAACAGTGGCTACTTGGCCTATGATACTAGCCTCCAAGACTCACATTCCACAAACATTAAAGCAGACCAAGCAGTAAATGTAGTGATATAAATATTTGACAAGAATTTCAGTGCATGGGAAACGTTTCTAAATTGAGACCAAAGTTTTGAAAGCAAAATACACAAAACATTTCTATCAACATACAAATGTAACTTGAACAGAACTGTCAGAATAGTCAAAGGTCAATTTTGTCTGTAGAGTGATGTATGAATTGTGATTAACATCCAGTGGCAAGTATTACATACATATCAGGACAAGAACAATTCCTGTAAACATGGTAAAAATATGAACCCTGCTTTGTACTAGACTGACATCCTGAGCTAGATTTTTAGCATGCTAGGTAACAGTCGGCAGGAAGACATGTCACCCTACTGGGATACATTATTCTGATTCCCAACCAATCAGTTCGTGCTCTTCCTCCTAAATGCCATGTGCTAAGTGGAGAAGCAGCAAATACCAATTTTCAAGTCTTTGGTTTGAGATCAAATCCACAACTTCTTCCACTCCACCAATCAGGCTACCATGAGACCACCTGAAGATGGTTCTTTGGTTGTGAAAATTACAACCTTAATTTTAGTACCTTCAGGTAATCACAATCCACATATATATGACAAATGTAGTTAAATACAAATGTAGGTAGTTACAGTGTGAGAAATCCAGACTTCCGTCAAAAGATATAACGTTTTATTAGGAATGATATTTTTTTAAAGGTAAACAAATTGCACATGTACAATGACATAAAAATAAAAAAGAGTTAAAAATATAACAAATTACACAGGTTTCTAATCTTTGTGTACTACTCTATCTAGAGCTATGTAGTACGCTGTTTTGTCACTGATATCATGCCATCCTATTGGTCCAACTTCACAATCGGCACAAACTAAATATTTAATATTGTCTACTGTATTACAGAAACCAACATTTTCAAATGTAAACATGTCTCCAACCTTCCAGAATTCTGATAACTTCTCTCCATTCGAGTCTATTCCTTCCTTCTTCTTCTTCATGTGTGGCATAAAGAACTGAAATAAAAAAGAAATTTATAATTTTCTATTTAGTTTTCAGGAAATATGTATCGGATATCAATAATTGTCAATCTACAAGAAAACCAGGAAATGGTAAAGTATAAAAGATAAGGAAAGACTACAATTTTGTTTTGATATATTAATATTCAAACGCCTACTTTGTACTTGTCCAACACATGGAGTCAGATTTGTAACATGCAACCTCACAAGGTGTCCAAATCAAACATGTTATATAAATGTAGTGGACATACTTAATACTGTAAATTCTGAAATTATTGCATGCATTTATTATTGTGATTTTTAAAAAATTAACAATAATGCAAGTTTAACTATTGCGAATTTTGGAAAAGCTTCATACAGATATATGTATTTGATATCAGAATGCGAGTTTTTATTATTGCGATACTCAAGTAGTTGTGTTATTCGCATTAATAAAAACCTCGCAATAATTTCTGAATTTACAGTAATAACATTAACAATACCAATTCTACTGCTATTGACTGCTCCAGAAGCGTATTTGAACAATCAATGTTTCTTAAATCAGTGATGCTCAAGGTCATGAAGGTCATATATTTGAAAATTTAAATTCTAATGAAAATATTGAAGATCTTAAAAAATCAAAATTGACCAAAAGTTAAGCCAAACTCAGACAAATGACTCTTAAAAATTCTTTGATATAAATAAAAAGAGATGAGGTATGATTGCCAATGTAACAACTAGTGTTCAAATGACATGGATGTAAACAATTAAAGGCTACCATATAAGGCCTTCAAGAATGAGCAAAACCTATACTATATAGTCAGCTACAACACTGTATAAAAGGCCTGACGTGACAAAATGTGAAAGATTTCAAACGAGAAAACCAACAGTTTTATTTAAAAGAATTCCACTAGTATTTACAAAAAACAAACATGGCAAATAGACAGACATAACCAATGACAACCACCGAATTACATGTTCCTGCTTTTTACATAATTTCAGGGACAGGCACATGAGGAGTATGGCCATGTTAAACATTTTTGTGAGCACTCAACATTTCACCTAACCTGGGACAGTGTTGTAACATCGAAAACAAATGAACAAACTGAAACTAGAGGCCCTAAAGAGACTGTGTTGCTCACCTGAAATTATGTACAACTTCAACAATGGCCACTTTCCAACATTATACTCAAATATATAATTACTACAACTAGAACTCTATTTTTGCTGATCATTTTAGTCGTTTACAGTTTCTCTTTACTACTATACGGTAGTTTTTCCCCTCTGTACACACTGTTAAAAGGTTAAGTTAAAAAAAAAAATCTAAAATGCCTATCTTTATGGGTCATGCAGCCATATTTAAAAGTTGAGCATCTACATCAATGTACATTAAAAAAACTTCCGTCCACACACACATTTTTATCAACAAAAAATGTGAATGTTAGAGTCTATTAAAAAACAGAGTCAAGTGAAACTAACTATTTTTTGAAAGTATCATGTTTTTGTGATAAATTGTGAAAAATGGGATGTGTAATTAATATATATTTACATTTTGTACTTGAAAACCAGTATGCATCTATCATTGTCTATTACTTCTTTGTAAAAATGTATAATTTGACTTGCACAAGTCTTCAAGATTATGACTTACATGAGTTCATATCAGAGCTGAGACTGACTGATTGACCTACATGTAGTCCAAACAGGTTGGTGAAGATCCCCATAAATTGGTATTATTCTATTTTATCAGTTATATACCCTAAAACAGGTATTAATTTTCAGTGATAAAAATATAAACTTTGGATTTCAAGATATTTGCTGTCATGGTTCAAACATTCAGGTAAATGACAACATTTTGCCAGAAGACACCATGACTGAAATATCATTTGGATAGAAGATAATAGCTTTCAAAAAGTAGGATTTTTGGAGGCCATTATCTTTATATTCTCCTTTGAACTATGATCTTAAAGAGAAAGTTGTTGCTATATAATTTATATGAATATTTGTGACATGTGTGATTGACAGCCATTATGATGAAATACAAATATTTGATTTTGCATCACTGTAAATTGATGCCAGATTTTGGAAATAGTACCCATTTATGAGGATCCCCACCTGCCATATACATTTTTAATAGATGTTTCCAATTTCTATTTTATGAATCAACTGCCAGGTTGACCTGGGGTCATTTGGGGGACAACACGTCATAGGACATTGTGACATGCAGATATTTGCTTTGTGATATCAATTTTTTCTGGGAAAAAGCACCAGTTGGAAGATCACATATTATGACATCTTGTAAGGCTTTTTTTCATCTTTTTGCAGTGATGCCTTCCTACGAAGTCCAAATAATTATGACATCTTGTAAGACTTTTTTTTCATCTTTTTGCAGTGATTCCTTCCTACGAAGTCCAAAAAGTTATGACATCTTGTAAGGCTTTTTTTTTATCATTTGCAGTAATGCCTTCCTACAAAGTCCAAATAATTATGACATCTTGTAAGACTTTTCTTCGTCTTTTTGCAGTGATGCCTTCCTATGAAGTCCAAATAATTATGACATCTTGTAAGGCTTTTCTTCATCTTTTTGCAGTGATACCTTCCTACGAAGTCCAAATAATTATGACATCTTGTAAGGCTTTTTTTCATCTTTTTGCAGTGATGCCTTCCTATGAAGTCCAAATAATTATGACATCTTGTAAGGCTTTTCTTCATCTTTTTGCAGTGATGTGTTCCTACGAAGTCCAAATAATTATGACATCTTGAAAGGCTTTTTTTCATCTTTTTGCAGTGATGCCTTCCTATGAAGTCCAAATAATTATGACATCTTGTAAGGCTTTTCTTCATCTTTTTGCAGTGATGCCTTCCTATGAAGTCCAAATAATTATGACATCTTGTAAGGCTTTTCTTCATCTTTTTGCAGTAATGCCTTCCTACGAAGTCCAAATAATTATGACATCTTGTAAGGCTTTTCTTCATCTTTTTGCAGTGATGCCTTCCTATGAAGTCCAAATAATTATGACATCTTGTAAGGCTTTTCTTCATCTTTTTGCAGTAATGCGTTCCTACGAAGTCCAAATAATTATGACATCTTGTAAGGCTTTTCTTCATCTTTTTGCAGTGATGCCTTCCTATGAAGTCCAAATAATTATGACATCTTGTAAGGCTTTTCTTCATCTTTTTGCAGTGATGCCTTCCTACGAAGTCCAATTAATTATGACATCTTGTAAGGCTATTTTCATTTTTTGCTGTGACACACAAAGAAATAAATGTGGATAGTGTCCACATGTGGACACAGATGATGCCCCCGCTTGCATAGCATATAGTTATAAAGGGACATAACTGAAGAACGGTAAAAGTGATGCTATCCAAATTTGAACTTGATCGGAGTTTTGTGGTAATAAGCATTGTGTGTAAGTCTCATAACATTTGGTTGAGGCTAACTTAAGTAGAGAACAGAAACTAAAAATTCAGCAATTTTTCTATTTGTAAATGCGCATAACTCTAGAACAGTTGTGTATAAGTTTTATAATATTTGGTTGAGACAAACTAAAGTTAGAGAACGGAAACGAAAAATTCAGCAATTTTAATGTTTATAAAGGGACATTACTCAAGAATGGTAAAAGTGTTCTCACCAAATTTCGTACTTAATCTGTATTATGTAGTAATAAGCATTGTGTATAAGTTTCATAACATTTGGTTGAGGCAAACTAAAGTTAGAAAACGGAAACAAAAAATTTGTACTTAGTTTTGTGGTAATGAATATTGTATATAGATTTCATAATGTTTGGTTGGGGCAAACTTAAGTTACAGAATGGAAACTAAAAATTTTGCAATCTTTCGATTTATAAAGGGGCATAACTCAATAATGGTTAAAGTGACACCAACCAATTCAACTTGATCTGTGTTTTATCAGTGGAAGTCAAAATTAAACATTGCATTGTATAAAGCATTGATTGTAGTTGATTCAACAATAATCATGGACAATCTTAGGACTCCAATTTAAATCAAAGCGCGAAAGCGCTGTAAAGGCAGTTAATTACAGGTTGTGTGTATTTTTAGTCCAGTTATATCATTATCTTGCATAGTACAGTGTACTTATCAGAGGTGGCTTTCAGTATTTAAGATTTAGAGTTCTCTAATGATATTGAACAAGTTATATGAATGTCATATTCTGAGCACTATATGAAGGTGATTGTTCTCACTTGTTTATGAACTAGTGCATTATGTCCAGTTTGTACCGGTACCTTTTTTATCTATGTTTATAGTCAAATTAGTTATCAAAGGTACCAGGATTATAATTTAATACGCCAGACGCGCGTTTCGTCTACATAAGACTCATCAGTGATGCTCAGATCAAAATAGTTATAAAGCCAAACAAGTACAAAGTTGAAGAGCATTGAGGACCCCAAATTCCAAAAAGTTGTGCCAAATACGGCTAAGGTAATCTATTCCTTGGATAAGAAATCCTTAGTTTTTCGAAAAATTCAAAGTTTTGTAACAGGAAGTTTATAAAAATGACCATATAATTGATATTCAAATACTGTTTAAAATAGTTAGGCATTTTCTTTATAGTAATAAGTAAATGTTATCAACTGTATTTTATTCAACTCTGCAAATGTGGTTTGTTACTGTTAAGTATGGATGATAGTTGTTTCATTGGCAATCATAACACATCTCCTTATTTATATAATGATCTATATTCAAAGACCTCAGGTACAAAAAAAATGCATGTAACTTAACTATGATGGGAAACCTTTGACTTCTTTCTTTTATATAAACTTTTGATTTGGTACCATAGAACTATGTAGAATAAATGTACATTGCAACATGTCAACTCTTTCAATGACAATACTTTTTTAAGAAACTATAACTCCAAGCAAAATTATATTTCCAAGTTTAAAGTAATTTATGAATGAAAAAAGGAGTTCTTAATTAAGAAATAAACTGATTCGCCGAGCGCAGCTGGATACAACCGCAGAGGTCCAACCCTGAACAGTTGGGGCAAAAATGGACACAATATT